TCATATGTCTTTAAGGAAGAGCTTTATATAAAGAGTAATTGTATATTAAGAAAACATCCCAGCCCAGTCCAGATCAAGTCCATAAGTCCAATATTGGCCCATATGCCCAATACCAGTCTATAAATTCCTCTTCAGACTTGTGCAACACATGCAATGATGCTGAATGCAGGAAGATCACAGGCCAGTGGGTGGAAAGTATTGTGGATCCAGTGGCAATGGAAAAGCATCTCAGTGCTGGCTTGGGTCTCCACGTGGCTCCTCCAGTTCCAGGGCTCTGGCTGCAACAGTGTATCTCCATGTGACTTATCCACAGGAACGTATCACAGGGAGAGTGTGTGTCCCGCCTCCAGGGAGGAAGGCAGGAGTCCCCAAAATCCTCAGGAGAAGGCCATGCCCACACAGAGGCCTCATTGACTGTGACCTGATTGCCAAACCAGACTCCACCCCTTCACAAATTGACAGATTATGTAACTGCCACCCAGGCTGTAGTCTTTAATGGATCAGGTTGCCAAGTCTTTCTCCAATGGAGCGGCTGGGTGAGTTTGAACAGCCAACCTTTTGGGTCAAAGCCGAGTGTCTAATCATTGTGCCTCCAAGACCCAGCCAGCACTACAGGCTTAAAATATTCTCGTATTATTTAATTGGGGTGCTAGATAAACTACAAGGCAAACTACAAAACTACTGCAAACCGCACAGCTTAAGTCAGAGGAAAACAAGGAATTCCCCAAGGACCAAACAAAACAAAACAGGAACGTGCTGAAAGCAGATTGAAATTCAAATCCAGACACTGGCTGTTAAGAACAGAAGCTGGGTGCAAGAGGGAGCCAGTAGGCGAAAAGTCTGTGAGTCACACGCTGTAGGTGGCCAGACCAGAGTCCCCCAGAATGAGCCCAGACTCTAAAAGGACCTTCTCCCAGGCTTCAGCCACTCCCCCAGGTCACACTAGGACAGCCATTCTGGTCATCGAGGCCCCACTCCTTCTTGGGCTTAAAAAAAGGTGAGAAGGAGCCTGAGGAAAGAGTTCATCCTCTGAAAAGAGCCCCCTAGGAAACCTTGGGGAGAAAGGCTTTCCTGGGCAGGCACAGGTCTGCCCGCATGTGTGGCTGGGCCTCCGTTTCTTCTGTCCAGTCTGAGGAACTAACTGAAGGAGTGCCCGATGGGCAGCTCCCAGGCTCAAGGAATTCCCCTCTGGAAGTAGGAGTCTTGAACAGACCCTCTCAGGAACCCACTCTTTACTGGGGCATACAATGCGAATGCCTTCACCTCCCCCCTCAGCCTTGTGCACTGTCGGGGAGCCGGGGGCCAGAGCAGCGTACATGTACGCGTTAATGATTTTTAGAACTAAATAGATGGAAACATCCGCAAGATATGGCTTGAAAGGTTACGTCATTTTAAAATATAAACAATCAAGAACTCAAGCCAGAAACAACCGAAAAACCGGCACAGGCTCATCTAGACAGTGCGTGGAGAGGAATGGCTCGTATCCAAAGCCACTGCCATGGAGTTGATTCTCACGCACAGAAGCCCTGCCGCTGTCGTGGTTACTCCCTGGGCTGCTAGCCACATGGTTGGCAGGTCAAAACCACCCGCAGCTCCGCAGGAGAGAGACGGGCTTGCTTTCTACTCCCTAAACAGTTACCCACAGGGATCTGTATGAGTCTGTGTTGACTGGATGGCAGCGCGAGACCCTATGGCACAGAGTAGACCCGGCCCATCGGGTTTCCAAGTCTAGAAATCTTTAAGGGGACAGAAAGCCTCATCTTCCCGCCAGGGAGCAGCTGGTGGATTTGAACCTTGTGATTAGCAGCCCAGTTCTTTTTAAAAAAATCATTTTATTAGGGGCTCATACAACTCTTATCACAATCCATACATACACCAACTGTGTAAAGCACATTTGTACATTCATTGCCCTCATCATTCTCAAAACATTTGCTCTCCACGTAAGCCCCTGGCATCAGCTCCTCATTTTCCCCCCTCCCTCCCCGCTCCCCCCTCCCTCAGGAGCCCTTGATAATTTATAAATTATTATTTTGTCATATCTTGCCCTGTCCGACATCTCCCTTCACCCGCTTTTCTGTTGTCCGTCCCCCAGGGAGGAGGTCACATATAGATCCTTGTCATTGGTTCCCCCTTTCCACTCCACCCTCCCTCTACCCTCCTGGTATCACCACTCTCACCACTGGTCCTGAAGGGCTCATCTGCCCTGGATTCCCTGTGTTTCCAGTTCCTATCTGTACCAGTGTACATCCTCTGGTCTAGCCAGATTTGTAAGGTAGAATTGGGATCATGATAGTGGGGGAGAGGGGGAAACTAGAGGAAAGTTGTATGTTTCATCATTGCTACACTGCACCCTGACTGACCAGCCCAGTTCTTTACCCACTGTGCCATCTTGTAATCTTACTACTAATTGTTAAATGTGCAATATAAAATGTGGAGATTCTTTGAATTAAACTTTCAAATATAATTATGTTTGAGTTAAACTTGTAAATATATTTTTATGGTAAGACAAGTCAGTTAGTGTATATATATTCATATGTTATAGGTAACAATATAAACTTGCATGCCATTCCAGAGAAACCCGGTGGCGTAGTGGCCATGTGTTGGGCTGCTAACTGCAAGGTCAGCCGTTTGAACCCACCAGCTGCTCCTCTGGGCTGTCTGTGCACTCCCATGCAGAGTGACAGTCTCGGGAACACACAGGGACGTGTGTCACTATGAGTCAGCATCAGTTGCAGTTGATAATTTTTTGTTATTTAGGACATTAAAATGTTTTTACAGTCTATTCATTTGTTTAAAGGCCTTTTGTATGTCTTTTTTTGGTAATTTGTTCATTTTCTACTGGATTTTTTGCATCCTCAATTTTTAAACCTCTCTATAAATTTGATGTATCCGCTCTTTATCTGTGATAATCTGTTGTGAGTATATTTTCCCAGTTTGTCATTTGTCATTTGACTTTGCTTATAGTGTTTTGCTATTTTTTGTTTTGTTTTGTTCTTATGCAAACGTTTTGCCCTTGTGTTTTCGTGCAGTAAAATACCTCAATCTTTTCTACCGAGGCTCTGGATTTGGGGTGTCAGATTGAAAATCCCTGTCAAACGATATCAATCTCAGCAGCATGCATGCATCCAGCATCTCCTAGCATAAAAGCTCATGTTAACTTTGGAAAACCTCTCATTCCTCAAACACCCTCCTGGGGATTTGCTTCATTCTGCCCCTTTGACCCTTCTTCCTTCTCATCGTTCTCAAAAAGCCAGATCTCCCAAGGAGGGAGCGTGATGTGTACAGGGGACTTGGGTCATGTCCTGAATGAGGGACTCTGTAATTCCTGTGTTATTAAGATCCAAGAGAAGGAGCACAGAACTGGGCTTCAGATTGAGAGCTGGTTTTCCCCATACTTCCCTCAGCAGGTCCTGGGGGGCAGTCGGAGGCAGGGTGTGTCCCTCCCAGATCTGCTCACCCGACGACCTTCTTCTCTCTGCAGCCCACAGTGGGGTGGGACCCCAGGCCTTGGTGGCCCCTGTGCTGGATCGAACTAACCCTTGTTCTAAAGAAGTTCTGCATGTGTCGCTATTTTGTTGGCAAATAGGAGGGAGTTAAGCAAGATCAGACAACCCAACCCTTTGTCTTCTTCTTATCCCTCTCCACGGGGTCGGAGTAAAGTGCAGATGAAGTCCCTGGCCTGACCTATGTTTCTTTATCACCTGTGAGCAAAATCCCCTGATCCAGAAGCCCAGTGGGCTGACTTGGACCCACGTCACGGTGGGCATGGAGTGGGGGCCATGGCCACTTTATGGGGCAGGTGGAGAGGGGTGGGTGTGCCTGAGGCATGGGACCCTGCGTAGGGTCTGAATGCACTGGTCCCCTACAGTGAGATCGGACAGCGGCGGCGACAGAGATGTGTTGTGTGTTACAGAAGAGGAACTGGCTGGCGAAGACGAAGACATGCCATCCTTCCCATGCACACAAGAGGGTAAGTGCTGTGGGGGCTTCCCTCTGCTTCCTGATCTCCTTTCCGCCCCATCCTCAACCCGAAGGTGATCAGAGATATGTTGACTCTCTATGTAACTTCAGAAACCTGGCTGCCCTCTCCTCAGTGCTCTATGCAGGGAAAGGGGATGAGGTGGGTGGTGCTAGGCTTTGCAGTACAGATGAGGTCAAAGTTTGACAACATGAAAGGGCTCCTCCTGGAGCCTGTCAGTGACCTTTACCCTCTCCCCTGGTCAGGCATCCAGTCCCCTCACCTATCTTTTAGCTGGCTTAAAAATGCCCCCATCATCCTACCTCAGGTCACCCAACTTTCTCCTCTGACCCTCAGGGCCCATCTTGGCATTTCATTAATCTGAGAAACAAATGCCACTTGAGCTGTGATTTGGAGCAGGGTCATTCAGTATAAACTAGAACTATCATTCCCACTGTCACCTGGGTCGAAGCAGAGAGAAGAGGGGAGAAGCAGGAATCAGGTGACTGAGGAGAGGAGACGGCCAAAGACTGCATTGGGTAAATCTGCTGCACAAGATCTCTTCAATGTGTTGAAAAGTAAGGATGTTATTTTGAGGACTAAGGTGTGCCTGACCCATGCCCTGGTATTTTCCATCACCTCATATGCATGACACAGGACAGGGAAGTTAGACACAGGACAGGGAAGACCAAAGAAGAATCGATGCATTTGAACTACAGCATTTGCGAAGAATATTGAAGGTACAGATTGAAGACCACAGGGACCAAGGCACCATTGACCTTGGAAAATCTGACATGAGTTCAGGGACCTATGAGGACAGGACTTTGGCCGGTATGGAGAACGCATTCCAATCATTGATGTTGCTGGGAGCTGCAGCAATAATGGGAGACGCGGTGCACAAGCTGGATTTACTGGGGACCTGGCAACCCACTGCGTGTAGGTGAGAGGGTTCCTGAATGGCAGACAAATCAAACAGCAGAACTGAGGGAAGCTCACAAAGCAGTTAAAGAGGCAAAAAGGCAAAATATGGAATACACTCATCATTATAACCGATGGCTAGTTTGTCGTCAAAGGTGTGACAGAATGGGTTGGTAACGGAAAACAACATGGATGGAAAACAGCCTCTGGAAGAGATGTGATCAACAGAAGTGATTGCAAGAAGATTACTCAAGCTTCCCAAGGCATGGAGATTCAGTGGAAATACACTCCTGGCCATCGAGCATCAAAGGCAATGAAGAAGCTAGTAGATTGGCCACTGCAGGAGCTAGAAAATAAGACTTCATTTCCCTCCGAGATTGTTAACCTTCTCGGTTGGAGTTCTATTTCTTGCTGTCAACTTCCAAAATGTTCTTCCCTTTTCCTCATGGCCATGTCCTCATTAAACTGTTTTCTCCATATCGTTTCTACCTTTTGGTAGAAACATCTTTCTAGAGGAATAAAATGCACTTTCCACTTCAAAAAAAGAGTGGCAGGGTGGGGTGGGGGGTAAGTACCATAGACTGCCAAAGAACAGATGGGTCTGTCTTGGAAGAAGTCGAGCCAGAAGGCTCCTTAGAGTCAAAGATGGTGAGACTTTGTCTGGCATGCTTTGGCTATATTGTCAGGAGAGACCAGTCTCTGGAGAAGGACATCATGTTTGGTAAAGTAGAAGGACAGTGAAAAAGAAGAAGACCCTCAATGAGCTATACTGACCCAGTGGCTGCAGCAAGAGGCTCAGGCACAGCAACAGTTTGAGCATAGTGCAGGACCGGGTGATGCTTCGTTCTGATGTTCTTCGGGTTGCGATGAGTCAGCAAGTTAGATCCGACTGGAAAGCACCTAATAACAATGATCCTTCCCAACCTTGGTTGCACATTGTAATTACTCCGGGAGCCTTAAAGAAACATAGTGAGACCCAGGTCCAAGCTTTAGAATTTTTCATTGAATTCAGTCTGGAGTGTGAATTGAGTTCCAGGATTTCCAGAGGCTCCCTGTGATATGCAGCTAGAGTTGAGCTAGACTTGGGGATTTCACAGTTGGGAGAATCCCTGCATTCCTGGATTCTGCCTGCTGGGCACTGGCCACCTACCAGAGCCACGTACGCCTGACTTTCCCCTCCTCCACATCAAGGACCCAGTTGGTGACCTCTTGTCACTCCATTGGTTTCCAAGAGAAATGCTAGTTACCTACCCACTGGGCTGCTAACTGCAAGATCAGCAGTATGAACCCACCAGCCACTCCTCGGGAGGAAGACAAGACTTTCTACCCCATAAAGAGTGGCAGTCTCAGAAAGCCACAGGGCAGTTCCACCTCGTCCCCTAGGCTCGCTGTGAGTCGGAATCGGCTCTGATTCCAATTGCCGGCACCTCCGTGTGAGTCAGAACAGCACTGTCCGCCCTGGGGTTCCAGTGGCCAACTTGTTGGAAGTCGAGCACCAGCACGTCTTCTGTGGCTTCTCCGGGTGGACGTTTGGTTAATCAGTCAAGTACATTATAGGCAGGCCCCTACTAGGGATGGGAGGGGGGGGTTCCCCACACACACACCCCGGGCTAGATGATACCATAGAGAGAGGGTGGTGGGAACAGGGGCAGGTGGAGTATTTTGAAGCTCCTGAATCTGCTTGAATGCACTAGAACCTAGAGCAAGGGAATGAAGGCTGAAGGTGGAGAACACCGCCCCTTCTGAACCTGCTGTGAAATGTGCTCAGACAGACCACCGTAGGAACATGGAACGGATGGCCTTTAGCTGTAGGCTAACCCCCTTCCCTCCCTCCATCCTCCCACAGGCCGACCAGGGCCCCGCTGCGGCCGCTGCCAGAGGAATCTGTCCTTACACACGTCGGTGCGGATCCTTTACCTCTTCCTGGCCCTGCTCCTGGTGGCCGTGGCCGTGCTGGCCTCCCTGGGTGAGTGTGGACCCCAGCAGGACCTGGCTGGCCCAGGGCTCACAACCAGGCTGCAAGGCAGCTCCTGAGGACCCCCTTCAAAGACAAGCTCTGACCTTGGTGACTCAGGGGCCCCCAGAACCAGCTTGGCCTGCCTCATCCAAACTCCGCAGGCTGGCTTCTCATTCCTGGCCGGTGACATGTGGCCTTGAGCAAACTGTATGGCCTTGAGCAAGGCACTTAGCTTCCCAGAAAGTCTGCTTTACCACTAGCCAAGTGGGAGTCTCCGACAAGCTCGGGGCGCTCCGTGTGAGATGTACCCTAGATTTGTTGGCTTTAGAAGAGATTGCTGACAGGCCGTCCCCCAAAGGAATGGAATTATAATCGGCAATCCCCGTGGTTGAAGCCTGAGCATCAGTGTTCTGGAGATGATTCTGTAGTCCACCCAGTACTGAAAACCCCTCCTTCAAGTGATTTCTATCCCCTTCCACGGTCTCTGTGGGTGTTTCTCAAAGACCTGCCTCACCTCCAGGGTTTGCTAACATTCATATTAGTAGTCTGGCCCCACCCAGATGGACCGAATCCAAGTCCTACAGGGAAGTGTGATGTGGCGCATACATACTGCCGTCTGTACGCATATAGGAGCAGACCCAAGTGCCGGCCTGCGGCCAAGTGGCCTCTGGGAGGTTTGTCTATGGTAAACTGCTGCTCACCAGTGGGGTGGTTTCTCACTGGAATCGCCTTCCCTTTGAAGCCTCCAGTGTTGGAAATCCAGAAACCTTTACTCAGTTCAACCAGTAGGCTTGTTTGTCCTGATCTACTGGGTTTCCGCCATCGGGTGAGGAGAGGGTGGCACCCTGCATGGCCCTGGGAGTGAGCCCTCCTTCAATGAGACCCTGGTCCTGGTGTGAGATGCCCACTAACCAGCCCTGCTGGGCTTCATGGTCAACCCCCAGCATGTGAATGCGTTGCATAAACACTGCAGTCATCTTCCAGTAATCCCGAAGGTGTCCACCAATCCAACACGGACCAAGGACTTCCCATGTGCCAGGAGTAGGGACACTGAGGGGAGGTCAGTTGCATTCAATGCCTTTAGAGATTTTCACCTTCAAAGGGAGTGGTTTTCAACCCGGGCTGCACACGGAGTCTCACGGAGAGTATTTCTGCCCATGCCAGAGCCCACTCCAGATGAATTAAAGCAGTATCTCTAGGGCAGGGCCCGGGCCTTCATTTTTTTTTTTTTAAAGCTTCTCAGATGATTCCATCGTGCAGTCAGGATTGTGGACCACCGACTTCAAGAATTTCCCAAGACTCTCACTCCCATTCAGCCCTAGTGCTTGCTCTCTCTTTCTCTTTCTCTCTCTCGCTCTCTGTCTCCTAGGAGGGGCAGAACCACAGTCCCAGTCATCACCAGCGTGAGCTTGACCATTAGAAAACTTGTAAAGGTTCTTGGGCAGCCCTTTCAGGGCTTCAGCTCTCAGCTCCCCAGGGACCTGGCTCCAAAGGCCACTATCCAAGAGAAAAGCAGGGGGCACCGCAGCGGAGAAGACCCTTCCTGAGTGGCGGGAGTGGGCTAGGCAATGGCCATGCGTTTGAGAGAAGCCAGGGAGACCTTGGTTACTGCTTCTGTGTTTCTATTGGCCCCTGGCACTTTGGAAGAAAACACTGCCCCAATCTGTGTCATCCCAATTATTGAGCTGCCGTGATACCTAGGGTGTTCATCGGCTGATTTGGTTTGGTTTGGTTTTTTCATCTCCAGCCCGAGTATCCCAAGCCTGCAGAACAGAGCCAGGGCCAAGTTGGACAGAGTAGAACCGCCCCTGTGAGTTTCCAAGAATGTAACTCTTTACAGGAGTAGAAAGCCCCATCTTTCTCCTAAGGGGTGGCTGGTGGTTTCAAACTGCTGACCTTGTGGGTCAAATCCCAACTCATAACCATTGCACTAGCAGGGCTCCCTTACTGGCCATAGATAACCATGACTCAGTACTTATTTCAGTGAGTATTTTTGCAAACACACTGTAGGCCAAGAACTCCTCTCGACACCAGGCAGATACTGACATTGGAAAACCAAAGCAGCTGTAGACTGTGTATAGATGAGTGGAGGTGGCTGTGTTTCAGTAAAACAGACATTGGGCCAGATTTGGTAAGCAGGGAAGCCTCTTTGGATCCCTTGTCCAGAGCAATGGCTTATGGACCCTTTTGATTGTGTACGCTGTCAGTAAGCATGGACTGTGAATGGGTCAGAGCCAGCAGTGAGATCCTGCCAGTCCCTCAATGGAAGACAGGCGAGGCAGTCTGCTTCCTTAAAGATGACAGCCTGAGACTCTTTATGGGAGTAGGGAGTAGTAAGCCCCATATTTCCCCCTCAGAGATACTGAGGGTTTCAAACTGCTGACCTTATGGATTGCAGCCCAACACATTACCACTACACCACCAGGAAAATAATAGATTTCAGAGTTGGTAAGAGCCTTAGAAGTCATCTCGTTCCATACACCCATTTGATAGATGATTAAGCTGTGTCCCAGAAAGCTTAAGTGACTTGCCTGAAGCCTTCCCAAACATGTAAATTTAAAACAAACTTCAGTTGCTCAACTCTTGGCAGTGTTAATTCCATGCCCACACACATGACCTGCAGGGGATACATGGGCAGCACATTGTCAATCTTCAGTCCAACCCAAGCCTTCCTGTCACTAGCCAGCCCAGCCAGACAGCAGCTGGAGGAAGTCAGGAGTCGTGCTGCCTGTGTGTGCTCCAACCACTGGCCTGCATTAACCATGTTCCAGAGGTGTGAGGGGCTGGTGGGGCATCAATTACTGTAACCTTTCCTGGGGGGCAATCTGGTAAGTGATAGCATGGCCTTCCGAAATGTCAATATTCTTTGTCCCACTAATTCTACTAAAAACAATCCATCCTAAGAGAATAATCATAGACACACGATGATTACGTACCATGTTTGTTTCTAGGATCAAGCCCAACTTATAGATACCTATCATGCTTTATATTTATAGAATCAGAAAACCAGGTACCTTAAGTGTCCCTAACAGGAGGAGATTTTTATATAATATGCTAAATCATTGACATAGACAGTGAGTCATTTTTTCTAAGTAATTATGATCATCAGAACACTCCTATTTTAGTTCTTCTTTTTAAAAAGTGTGATGTGTGTGTATATAGTTATAGGTGTTAATAAGATTAGAAGAGATATATGAAGATACAGATGGAAGTTATTGCTAGGTAGTAGGATTAAGAACATTTAAAAAATATTTCTACCCCCTGCATTTTCCCTTTGTAGCCTGTTATTGGGTCCTGTTTCAACAATCTTGGAGGAGGGTTTTGTTTTGTTGCAAACACTGCACCTCAGAAGAGTCTTTCTGTACCGCCCTGCCACTGGGAAGCCTCCATCCAGAAAGCTGGATGGTTTGGGTTAGTGAGGGGCTGATAGGAATGCCTTCGCAACAAATGACTGCTCTTTCTCTGCGCCAAGACCCTGTCCCAGTATCTCATGTGAGTTTCCCTACAGTCTTCAGGAAAGTTGACTCTCTCTCCGAAGACATTTCCTTGGCCCAGTCCATTTATAACCAGAAGCTTACGTCTGTGCAGGAAAATCTCCGAGGACTGGGTAAGTATGCAGTGCCCGGATGTACTAGTGGCTAGAATGTTAAGGCCAGTGTAAACTGACTAGGGCAAGGGTTCCCCTATCCCTTGTCAAGGTGCCCTAGGGGCAGCACCCCACCAGCCTTCTAGACACAGGGAAGCCAGGGCTTCCTCTTCAACTTCAGAACCACCCATCTGAGGGGATTGATATCCTAAGACCTACCAGAACAGAGGCAAGGTGGGGGGTAGGGTCTGTATGGGGAACAGCTAGCATCCCACAGTTTCAGCCAGAAGCCACAGGTAAAGAAGGAAGCAAAATATAGTCACAGTCCCCCAAATATCCTCATGTATTGGAGACGATTTCGGAAGCTTACCAAAGCTTTCTGCCAAGTCAGCCTCTTCTTTTTGGCCACCATGCCTTAAGCTGTGCCTCAACCCACAATGCTCTGTGTCTCCCATCAAACAAGAAGGCTTTCCAGAGAGAATGAGACAGGAGATACCCTAAGAGAAGGGTTTGGAGGCGGTCTTCTCTGTTGAATGTCCTGGCTCTGCCACTACGTAGGCAGCCACTTCTCCATGCCCACGTTCATGAGCCAAGGGGACATGATCCCTGTGCCACCTCTCTGTAAATGTGTTGTGAGAGCACCAATTCAGGTAGCAAATACAAAGAAAGACACTGGAACCCATTTTTAAGTGACGTGTGTATGGGAGGTGCTTAATAACCTGAGAAATGTTATGATGATAGATTCTTGAAAATCGGATGGTCAAATGGATACGAATGTCCTACATGTGACATTTCAGATAATAGTCATGGCATTTGGAGAAAATCGGATGTCACAGGGATGGTGAGCACCCTCACCTTCCACCCCACCCCCCGCCCCGGATTTCATAGCAGAGTTTAGGAAAGGAAGGCAGGCTGGGGAGCCACCTGCCAATTCATTATGCTTGGGACTATTTAATTTAAAATACCAAGGGCTCAGGTAGGAATAAAATGTTTGGGAAATGATGATGGCAACATATGTATAAATGTTCTTGAAACAATGGATGGATGGATTGTTATAAGAGCTGTAAGAGCCCCCAATAAAATGATTTATTAAAATTTAATAGACATTTATATTTAATTTAAAGAAGCCAGCTGTGCCCCGTGATTATCTTGTGACTCAAAATTTTGTCCCCTTTTCATGAAGATCCGAAAGTCCTGAGCAACTGCTCTTTCTGCCAGGAGGCTGGGCAGCTGGAGCAGGAGATCCGCAAGCTACAGGAGGAGCTGGAGGGGATTCAGAAGATGCTGCTGGCCCAGGAGATCCAGCTGGCCCAGGCCTCCCAGGCCCATGAACTGCTGGCCACCACCAGCGGCCAAATCACCCAGGAGATGGGCAATTGTTCCTTCTCCATCCGCCAGGTCAACCAGTCCCTGGGGCTCTTCTTGACCCAGGTGAGAGGCTGGCAGGCCACCACAGGCAGCCTGGACCTCTCTCTGAAGGACCTTGCCCAGGAGTGCTACGACGCCCGAGCTGCGGTGAACCAGATCAACTTCACCGTGGGGCAGACATCCGAGTGGCTTCATGGGATCCAGCGGAAGACAGATGAAGAGTCCTTGACCCTCCGGAAGATTGTCACCGACTGGAAGAACTACTCTCAGCTCTTCAGCAGCCTGCGCGCCACCTCCGCCAAGACTGGGGAAGTGGTCAAGACCCTCCAGACCACGCTGGGGACCACCTCGCAGCGCATCAGCCAGAATTCTGAGAGCATGCACGACCTGGTGCTGCAGGTCATGGGCCTGCAGCTGCAGCTGGATAACATCTCGTCCTTCCTCGACGACCACGAGGAGAACATGCACGACCTGCAGTACCATACCCGCTACGCCCAGAACCGGACAGTGGAGAGGTTCGAGACGCTGGAAGGGCGCATGGCTTCTCACGAGATCGAGATCGGCACCATCTTCACCAACATCAATGCCACCGACAACCACGTGCACAGCATGCTCAAGTACCTGGACGACGTGCGGCTCTCCTGCACGCTGGGCTTCCACACCCACGCGGAGGAGCTGTACTACCTGAACAAGTCGGTCTCCCTCATGCTGGGCACCACGGACCTGCTCCGGGAGCGCTTCAGCCTGCTAGGCGCCCGGCTGGACGTCAACGTGCGCAACCTCTCCCTGATCGTGGAGGAGATGAAGGTCGTGGACACGCAGCATGGGGAAATCCTTCGCAACGTCACCATCCTACGAGGTGAGACCTGCGTCCCGGGGCTGCTGCAGAACTCCCAGAGGACCTCGGGGCTCTTGCTTCCTATAGGAGTACCTGGTTTAGACAACAACCAAAAAAACGCTCCAGGGGGCTAATACAATTTGGCATCAAACGCCTACAGCAACTTAAAATGTTAAGAAAAATAGTTGCCAACATCGGTGCAAAGTGTGTTGTGGCTCCTAGCTGGGCCTGGCAGCCAGATGTGGATTTGAATATAGCAGTTTGTTTCCCTGTGTCCTGATGGAGAGATAGGTAGACCAAGCCACCCAGGCAGAGCGCGAGGTGCCCGCTCTCTTTTAATCCCTACCCACCCTGTCACTTTCAACTCAGAAAGCCACAGAGGCAGCACTGCATGCCAAATGCAGTCTGGCCAGTCACACGGTTAGAGAGGAGTGAACACAGGATTGAAATCCAAGGCAGTTCAGAGCCAGCGCTGCCTTGAGTGCCCCTCTCCACCCAAGTCACTTCAATGCCAGTCCTTCGACAAGCACCTTAGTAAATGACATAGTCATCCCCGGGGCAGAACAGGCTTACCCACGTCGCTGATTCCACCAGTGTCTCCTGCGTGCCCGATTCCCCTAATGCACCTCTCCCTCCCCTTGGTGCAAGTCTGCCCTTAGCTTCTGTGTCCCAAGCGAGTGAGTTTTAACTGATCCACTCGTTGAGCTCCATTACTTGAGCTGAACGGTGGCTGACGAGTTTTTCACTGACATACACCACACCCATTACCTGTCATCACAGCCCCAGCCCTGACGCTGGTGCGGGACGAGACAACGTTCCACTGTCCCACACACGGTGGCCCTGCATCCGAGTGGACTTGACGGCAGCTAACAACAGCCTTTCCATTCTCATCCTGCTCGGCAGGAGATCCACTCGGTTTTCCCAACAGCTTTCTTCCTGGAAACGGTCCCAAACGCTCCCATCTGGATTCCCATTCACCCAGAATTTGGATAGGTGCCCCATGTTCTATGGAAGTGGGTGTCTTTGCGGAGAAGGCAGGCTAGCAGATCTTGGCTCTTAAGGACTAGATGTGGCAGCTCCAAAAGCTGTGATCTACGTCTGGGGGACGACCAACCAGGGAACCGGAAGGAGCCACTTGCTAGAATGAGGGAAGCCCCATGATCCCGGTGAGCTGAGCTCCCACCCCAGAGCACAGACTCTGAACCAGCTCGCTTATTCCTTGGGTCTGTGTAAACCATTTAGGCCCAAACCTTCTTTGACTCCATTTCATGTCATCAAGCATTTCTGCTGCCACTGGTGCTAACTTTTTCTTGAGATTGATTGGCACCCAGTCCCCCACTGCCTATTGGCACATTTTTGCAATTAAACCAACTCGTGAGTGTTTCTGTGGCAACTGAAACCGTCTCATGGAATTTCACCTAAAATGCATCTGCCAGACCCCGAGGACACACTGCTCCAAAGAAGGACATTATTAGACCGTCCCTAGGCTCTGCCACTTCTGTGTTTTTGTGGCCTTCAACCTAAGAACAAATGAAATAGCAAGCTTTCTTGCGGACAAATCCCATCCGTACACTTCATGGCTCTTTTTCACCAGCCCCACAACAATCCTTATAAGGTAGAGAAGGCCAGTCTTGGTGTCTTCATGGTGTTCCAGTTGTGAGCTCGGCTGCTAACCACAAGGCGAGCAGTTCAAAACCACCAGCAGCTCCTCCGGAGAAAGACGAGGCTTTCTACTCCCATAAAGAGTTAGTCTCTGAAACCTACAGGGGCAGTTCCACTCTGTCCCATCTGGGTCTTAGGGAGTCAGCATCCACTCGATGGCAGTGAACTTGAGTTTGGTTTGGTTTGGTGTTTTATTAGTAGCCTGTGACTAGGGGAGTCTGAGGACTTAGGTCAGGGGCTATTTTATTTTAAAGACAAACCTTAGCCTAGGTGGCAGCAGAAATGATCGACAGCATGAAGTGGCATCAACTGGCATTTGGGACTAAGTGGCTACAGAGAATCCCACTATGATGTAAAGTCCTGATCCCTCACTGTGGGGTTGCTGAGATGCACACGCTCAGTTCCAAGACAGGAAAGCAGACACCGAGGGTCTGAAGACACAAATACCGAAGGATGTCCTTGCTTAGGTGTAGGGTGCTGGGTAGAGAGGAGAGGAAAAGAAGGGAGTGTGGTGAAAGTATCGGCAGGGGAAGAATTTCCATTCTTGCTTTAAGTAGAGCCCAGCAAGAGTCACGGGCCTTCGTATCTGTCACCGCCCCAGGAGCGACAGGGAGGGTGCCCACGGAAGTGCCCCAGCTCGGCTTGAAAGCACGAGAAGGATGCCTGTTTGAGCTCCATCGACCCTTGGCTTGTCCTAGCACATCTCCTCTCTCTGTGTCTTGGGCCACCATCCTTCCTGATCATTAAAATCACCACGTATTAAAGCGCTCGTCTCTGAAAGAAAATTTGAGGGGCCAAATGCGTGTCCCTTCATCCCGCAAGGACAGACACTCATTCATTCACTCACAGACAGCTGTTGACAGGCTCTGATGCTGGAGCTGGAAAGCCCCATCCCCTGCTGGCCAGAGCTCAACTGCTGTTCTAAACTAACAGGAGGGAAACAGGACCAGCCCCAGCCAAAGTGGAAGGTGCCAAGAGCTGCCTGATGAGCTGAGACTATTAAACTGCATGAGGAAGGAGCCTGCCTTCTAATTCACTTGGGGTCGTTAGGCAAAATTCCTCCAGGCCTCCTCCAGTGCTGTTATTTTGTTTATTCCTTTCAGTAAATGAAAGGGACAGATTTCAGAGTTTTCCCAGCTTTGTGGTTTATTCTGAGCCTCCATTCGCTCCATGGAAACCATATGTTCGCTCCATGGAAACCATATGTAACATTTACCTCTTCCACTCCATAGATAAGTCCTTAGGTCGAGGTTAGGGCTATCCTTTGGAAATTGGAGACACATAACTATCAACAGTCACTAGCTGGGCAGTCTCTTGGCCATTTCCAGTTCAGTAACCTCATTGCCAATAAGAATATTGATGCCTTCTCTCACCCATGGGGCAGTTGGGACGATCAGCAGTAGCAATGGATACGAACAAACGTTTGCCTACACAGACGTCCTAGTGTAAGGAATTGGCATCCCTGGGTGGAACAATCAGTTAACACACTTGGCTGTTCACCAAAGGTTGGAGGTTCTCGTCCACGCAGGGTCATTCTGGAAGACAGGGCTGGCCGTGTACGTCTGAAAGGTCATCTTCTAAAAACCCTATGGAGTACAGTTTTCCTCTGATGAAATGGGGTCGCCAGAATTCAGGGTGAGCTCTATGGCAACAGTTGTTTTTTCATGTAAAGGATGATTGTGAATCCAAATTGTTTGATGACAGGACCCTTGTGTTATCCACCAAGTTCCCAACTGAATGTCTGACCCTTTGAAGGTATGCTGCAGGAAGGTTTGCTCAGAGGATGACTACGTAAAAGCATGAAAAGGAAGACGCTGAAGATGAGCAAAGGGGGCTAGATTCGGCAGCAGCACCCCCCTCTCTGACTCCCATCCCCAAAGTGTGCAGGTGTTTGCGTGTCCAAAAGGCAAAAGCAGACAAAAAGTCACAGCGCTCCTGCACTCAGACCTGCCTGGGGAGGTGACAGCGAGACACCTGGCTGCAGTGGAAGGTTAATAGAGTTGCTTGTTGTGGAGTAGAAACGGCGATTCATGCCAAGAACCACTGTCCCCAAGTTCCTGGTGGCACTTTCAAGAAGATGTGGGAGGGCCCGTCGTTAGACTTGGCCTATTCCAAGTACAACCAGACTTCTAGCCTTAGCCCTTGAGAGGCATTCGGCACTCTCTGACTTCCAGACTCACTCTTACAGTGTGTCTACCAGGGAGGGTCCTACCTTCCTCTCTTGTTCCCCCAGCACCCCGAGGCTGCTTCCTGCTCCAGCTCAGCAGCTCCACCCCCACGCTCCTTTCAGCAAATGGGTACACAGCTCCCTTTGGTCCTGGACACTCAGGGCCTCCGTGCCTGGAAATCCAGTTGTTGTCTCCAACGTCTGAGAAGCTGCTGGGAACTCTACTCGGCTACTCAGCCTAATAGTTGTAGCTTCTCAGCCTCTCTGGCCAAATCAGCGGCTGTTGGTGTGGGGCGCCATGGCACCCGGTACCATGAGTAGATCCCGGTGACGACAGAGTAGAACTACCCTATTGGGTCTCCTTGGCTGTCATCTTTATGGGAACAGATCATCAGGGCTTTTGCCTGTGGAGCTACTGTGTGGCTTTCGAACTGCCAACCTTTCGGGTAGCACTTGAGTGCTTAGCCAAAAAAGGAAAAGCTGCATGGAATGTCAGACTTCCTTCCCTCTGGGGTCTTGGTCCTTAGTATCTGTCCAGTGCGCTTACCCAGCTACCCAATTCATTTACGCCTGAGCTGGCACTCCGACCCGAGTCTCTGGACTTCCAGGCTATCCACCTTCCATTAGACTAGGCCAGTCTCCAGAGTTCCACTCGAGTCTTTTCCCCTCTGCTCTTAACAGTTGGCTGGCTGCCTCTCACTGTGGACCCTTTCTGCCGCGAGGACCCTTTCTGCCCGTGGGTGGGAGGGGTTGATGCTTCTGCCCAGTCACTGTCCCCTACCCCACACCCCATTCTGATGCTGGGGAACAGACCACCTACTTGTCCCAGACATGCAGTCAGTTGTGGCTGGACCCTAATGGGCCTCGATTGCTTAATTACAGTCTAAGGCTTCCTGAATAATTATGGGCCTCCCCAGGACTCCAGCTTGCTCGTCCTCTCCCAGTCCAGCACCTAAGCCACTGTCCCTGGCCTCCCTCCTTTGCCTGAAATGTTTCCCCACAGCTCAGAGCTGCAGTTGATGACCTCTCTCCTTTGCCCTTCACCCCTGCTGATGCTAATGTCTTCTTGTTGGCTGAGCCTGGGGCAGCCTCTTCTCCAGAGAGGCTTGGTCACCCTCCATCCACATTCCTTCCCACTTCACTAACCACTGAACTCAAGTTGTCCACCCAGGTCGCTCCCAGCTCTCCATGC